AATGTGCTAGTGTTTGGTAATAAGGGAAAGTTTCAGTGTTAAGAAATTGCCTTTTCAAAGGATTTTGATGCTTACTGTATCAAGTACTCTGTCAGCCTTTGAGATAGAGCTGGGTTCACAATGGGCCTCTCTTCCTAAGCACTATAAATGGGCAAACCATTTTAACTTTACTGACCTTATTTCTTCATCTATAAAAGGGGATATATGGAATTACTATCCAAAGAGTGGCTTTGAGTGTTAAATGCTTATGAAGCGTTTACGCTGGTGCTTTTATTAGGGCCTCTTTTAGCTACATGAAAAGCCAAGTAAGTATCCTTAAATATATAAAGTCCTTCCTCTATTTGGGCATGATTAAATTGTACAGTTCACCTGCTTGTCTTGCAAAACTGAGCTTTTAATGTTAAAGTAGTACGTAGGCTTTTGTATTAAACTATATTGTAATATCTTAAGAGTCAGAATGCTTTTATTTTTTTTCCAAATGCTTTTATATTCATTGCTTTATTTAAGCGGCTAAAATAGGTCCTGGTCCTTAGTAGGGTAAATGGTTGCCCAGGCCGAGAATTGTGTGTGGTGAGTGTTTTTCCTTGATTCAGCTAATTGATATACGATGGTAGTTTTACTGTAATTTTAAAATTCTGATAATGCAGAAATCTCTTCATTTATAGGCAAAGGTATTTTTCTGGATGCAAAGAGAGTCAATCCAAGTAGCAGGAAATAGCAAATCTTGAGAAAGAGTTTTTATTAAGAAACTTGATTTTAAGAAAGGTTCAAACTTACAGAGAAGTTGCAAAAAATGTTACCTTGAAATTTTGTGTACCTTTCATGTGGATTCACTCACATTTGCTTTCTGTATATTATGTGTGTATGATTTGCTGAACCACCAGAAATTAAGTGGCATACCCCCTTTATCTCTGAAAATTCAGTTTGTATCTCCTAGGGATAGGGCATTCTCTTGCACAACCACATTATATAGTTATCAAATTTAAAACTTTTAAGATTGGTATAGTATTTATATTACAATCTATATTCAAATTGTGCCAAATGTCTTAACTAGTAACCTTTAACAATCCCCCTGTTCCTATCACCCATTGCATTTGTTGTCTCATTTCTTCAGTTTCCTCTTAATTTGGAACAGTCCTCTAGCCTGTTCTTCACAACAGTAAGAGTTTGAAAAGTTCATGCCAGCTGTTTAAAAAATGTTAATTTAGATTATTCTAGTTGTTTCCTCATGCCTCAATTCAGGTTATGCATTTTGGAAGGAATACTAAATACTGGTGCATTGTACCAGAAGGCACACATCATGTCAGTTTAACCCATTATTGGTGTTCACTCTTAGTTAAGGTGTTGTCCACCAGATTTCTCCATTGTAAAGTTATTTTTTCCCTTTATAATATTCTGTGGGAGGATATATTGAAACTATCTGAACTTTCAACAAACCCAATGATTTTAGCATATAATTAATATTTTTTTACAGTTTATTTTTGAGAGAGAGCATGAGCGGTGGAGGGGCAGAGAGGGAGGGAAAGAGAATCCCAAACAGGCTCCATCTCACAAACCATGAGATCATAACCTGAGCCAATATCAAGAGTGGAACGCTTAACCAGCTGAGAACTGAACCACCCAGGTGCCCCTAGCATATAATTATTTTTGCTTGAATCAATTATACCTCCTGTTTGCTGGTACAGGGTCTGTCAAGAGGGGCTTTTTCTTCCCATAGACTCCAGTTCTTGTTTCATGCATTTTACCTCAATTCAGCCAGTGGGGGGTTGCCCTTTCTGACTCCTTTAATAAGGCTAAGTTACATTCTGTTAATACATTGAGGATTCTTATTTATGACCAAGTACTTTGAAACATACCAGATTTCTCTCTGCATAAGTCCTAACAGTATTGTGAAATTATGAAAGCTTGCTGGGATGTCTTAAGGGATAAACTGTAGGTGGAAATTTACCTGTGGTCAAGATTCTGTCACCAGAAGGGGCAATTTCAGAGAATCATGTCCTAATTCTACACTGATTTTTGAAATGCTACATACACCTTTTATTTCTTCATGTGTGTGCCCTAATTGCTTTTTTAAAATCACATAATGCAGGGGACCCTGGGTGGCTCAGTTGGTTAAGCACCTAACTTCAGCTTATGTCGTGATCTCACAGTTTGTGAGTTCAAGCCCTGCATTGGGCTCTCTGCTGTCAGAACAGAGCCCACTTCAGATCCTCTGTCCCCTTCTTTTCCTGCCCCTTCCCTGCTTGCACTCTCTAAGGCTCTCTCAAAAGAAACAAATAAAAAAATCACGTAATGCAGGGGCGCCTGGGTGGTTCAGTTAGTTAAATGTCTGACTCTTAATTTCAGCTCAGGTCATGATCTCACGGTTCATGGGATCAAGCCACACGTTGGGCTTTGTGCTGACAGCACAGCCTGCTTGGGATTCTCTCTCCCTCCTCTTCCCTGCTTGTGCGCACTCTCTTTCTCTCTCTCAAACATTGAAAATAAATTCTGAAGCACAGAAAGATAAAATTTCTTAAAAAATCACAATACGTATGTAAGTTCTCAAAATTCAAATAAGTAAATCCATCTTGAATAGCTCTCTTCTTATAAACCCTTACTCTTTCTAGAGTTAACTACTGTCAATGGTTTACTGTTAGCTTTTTACCTCTATCTGTGTACATATTAAAATGTTTTGTTTCTATGCTTTGACATAAATTGAATTATTGATTTTGCAATTTGCAGAATTTGGAGATCTTTGTCAGTAGTTAAGCATCTTCCTCATTCTTTGTAACTATTGCATAATGTTCCAAAGGGTGGATGTGTCAGGTTTTTATCACTTTAATGCCTATTCTCTGGCCTCCTTATTGCCAAAATTGGTTGACAATATGGAGGTATTCTGAGAGTGGAAACCATATAAAGTGAGGTTCAGAGAACTCATAATTTCTTACAGTCTTAAAAATTACATTGGTTTATGCTTGTGTTCTTTAAAAAATTTTTCTTTAACATTTATTCATTTTTGAGAGACAGTGAGTTGGGGGGAGGGGCAGAGAGAGCAGGAGACACAGAATCTGAAGCAGGCTCCAGGCTCTGAGCTGTCAGCACAGAGCCTGACTTGGGACTTGAACTCACAGACCGCAAGATCATGCCCTGAGCTGGTGGTATGCTTAACCAACTGAGCCACCCAGGTGCCCCTATGCTTGTGTTCTTAAGATTGAACTTCTTTCAGGTTTTCTAATACTAATCAAGTCTTGCACTTTTTATGTTAAAGGTTTTTTGGTTTTTTTTTTACACAGAGGATGTATATATTTGGAATGTTTATTTTCGTGTTGCTTAAAATAACAGAATGATGAATAACATGTCCAATATTTAATGTTCAGCATAGATGTGGGTAAGTAATAGTACCTCACACTCAGCTAACATTACTGGGATGAATGAATTATCCACATAATGATATAGTAAGGTATTACAATAATTTAAAGAGGTCCCTATTTGAGCATAGATCTAACTAGCTGGGTCATGTCTACTACACCAGTGTGGGGAGAATCTTACTGGCTTGAAACAAAGATTTTTCCGATGAGTTGCTGTTGTGCCCTGTGCATGGAAGTATGAAATTCCATTAAAGGAAGCTGTTGTTAGAAATAAAATGGCTGATTTTGTGTAAAAGTAGATATGACCCATGATCCATGTGAGACAACCTTGGAGACACTCATGTCGTTGGGAAAAAGCGCAGGCTGGAGATCCTGCATTAGCATCTAGGAGTAGAAGTACTTGTAAGTACCAAGCAGTATTCTAAGCACATCACATTAACCGAATCCCCTCATCATCACTGAGAAGTAGGTGGTTAATTCCCACATTGCATCCTACAGACAAGTGAATTGCTTGATGTCACAGTAGGAAGTGGCAGGTCTGTGCCACATTACCTTTATTAAATGAAGAATATTATGTGGGGAAAATGGATGTTATAAAAGGAGAAATTAGGAATGGGGATCAAAAGGGTTTCCATCTAATCTGAATGTCCTCAATTATAATGTTCTATTAACATGATAAAAAGGGCACTTTATTTTGAAGTATGCTTCATGCCCAGTGTGGAGCCCAGTGTGAGGCCTGGACTCAGAGCCCTGAGATGAAGACCAGAGCTGAGATCAAGAGTCGAATGCTCAACTGACAGAGCCAGCCAGGTGCCCCAAAAGGACACTCTTTATTTTTTATTTTATTTTTTTTATTAAAATTTTTTTTTCAACGTTTATTTATTTTTGGGACCGAGAGAGACAGAGCATGAACGGGGGAGGGGCAGAGAGAGAGGGAGACACAGAATCGGAAACAGGCTCCAGGCTCTGAGCTGTCAGCCCAGAGCCCGACGCGGGTCTCGAACTCACGGATCGCGAGATCGTGACCTGGCTGAAGTCGGACGCTTAACCGGGCGCCCCGGACGCTTAACCGGGGCCACCCAGGCGCCCCAAAAGGACACTCTTTAAATAGGCTTTCCTCTATCATAACTTCTAACCAGTTTATATTCACTAAAGACCATATGAGAAGCTTACCAGCAGTAGTCAGATTAATTTCACCTTTTCGAAATAAACCAGGATAAAACCATTTTGCCCTGATCCTACTTAAGCCTAGTTCTGAGAGCAGAAGCTGGCATTTTTGCTATGTTTTTATATTTAAGCTGGCATTTTTAGATAAGCCACTGTATTCATTATGTGCATAGCTATTTGAAAGTATAAGAATGTCATAATTTAACGTGGAAAGAGCTGGATTTATTTGAAAATGCCCTTGGTTCTTGGGCTCTGTGAGCCTGCTGTATTACAGGCCCTGATTCTTTGTCCCATCTGATCCATTGATTAAAATCACAATTTGAAGACTTGGCAGGAGGTGCATGTCTCCTAGTCTCCCAGAATTGATTGGGAGTGGTGGAGACAGTCATAGGCTATCCACCCTACACAACAGGGAGGAAGGAGAGTGACAGATGTCCCTGACATGGGTTTCTATGTTTTCACTTAATTTTTTAAATTAAAAAAAGCTTCTCTTTCTGCTGTCCTCCCACATGTCTCATTTCTTGTTGAACAGTCACAGAAATAATACTGATAGCAGTAATAGTAATAGGCATTTCTCTCCTCGTCTTCTGCCTTTTTGGTGTTTTTCAGTGTGAGCACACACATACGTAAATGCATGCAAAGACTGCTGAATTCTGCACAAACACTGGCTGGAGTACTCTCTGTGATCAGCAGTTGGCTTACTGGCAAGCAGGCCCAGGTCAGTCCACCCCATGCAGCTTAAGACAGAGGGTGCTATTTCAGGGCCTTTGTTTCAAGTCCATAAACTCCAGAGGAAAGGACCCTTGAGATCCCCTGGGCTGTGCTCACACACATGGGAAATGTGCTCCATAGCAGAGCCTGAAAAGTTGTAGATGATCTGTCTTGAGACCTTTGCAGATCCCCAATCCTGCCAGAAAATTTGATCACTTTGAGTAAATATCAATTAAGTGTCCTCTTCAGACTGTTTACAATTCTGTAAATACACAATACAGCTTTAAGAATCTTGGGGCGCCTGGGTGGCTCAGTTGTTGAGCATCGGACTCTTGGATTCTGCCCAGGTCATGATCTCACAGTTTGTGAGTTTGAGCCCTGCATTGGGCTGATGGTGTGGGGCCAGCTTGGGATTCTCTCTCCTCTCAAAGAATCTTTAATGGTATAACTTCTTACCTAATTTTTTTTTTTAATGTTTATTTTTGAGAGAGAGAGAACAAATGTGAGCAGGGGATGGGCAGAGACACACGCGCACATAGAATCCAAAGCAGCTTCAGGCTCCCAGCTTCAGCACAGAGCCTGATGTGGGGCTTGACCCATGAACCCAGAGATCACGACCCGAGCCAAAGTTGGATGCTTAACAACTGAGCCACATAAGCACCCCTCTTACCTAATTTTTTCACTTTGATGATCATTTTCACATTAACTGGTGGGATAGCTCAAACTGTTTCTTTTGGGTGGCAACCATTTTTAACCTGTGCTGATTTTGTTGAACGTAATCCCATTGTACTTCCTTCCACCACCCTCCAAGGCTGAGACGTGTAGTGGGGTCTGCCTCCTTTTCCCCTTGGAGAACACTGGATATTTAGAAGAGAGGTGCCTTTTTTGTTTGTTTTTTGCATATCTGGTTAGAGTTTTCAAGTTGAGAGGTTTTACGGTTTGATGGGATTGAAGCCAGGGAGCTAAAAAAGCCCAAATTCTGCCCTGGCAATTACTCTACCTCAAGAGTTCCTGGGTAGGGTGGGGGGCTCTAGTGGGATAGAAATTAAACTAATACTTTTATCAAATTTCTAGATACCCTAGTATACATTTCTAGTAAAACATTGATTCAAAGACTGTTTTAGGAGCAAGTGGGACCACCTATATGATTCCTTGTGCTTCCCATTCCCTGCTCCAGTCTAAGCCAGGGCCCAGTGTGTTCCCCCAGGACTGTAAAGGCGAGGGGCAGAGATGGAGAAATGCTGGTAGGTGGCCAGGGGTAAAAAAGAGGTTCCAACCCCATGTCACTCCACCCCTCACCCTGGTTGTGGAGCCAGGAAAAGAAGCTAGGGTCTCAGGATCCTCAGCTTGGATTCTGCCTGAAACCTCTTTTTTCCTTCCTGGGGAGCAGCAGGATACTGTTTTGAGATCTAAAGGTCCTTCACTTCTGTATTCTCATTGCCTTTCCCACCACAGAGACTTTGTAAATAGCTGACTTCCTGAGGTAGCTTTCTGGTATGGTAAGTGCTCCATGGGGGTGGAGATAGGCTAGATTTGTATCTGAATGGATTTTTTTTTCACTTTAAATTTATGAAAGTAACACATGCACAGTTAAAAACACTATTGCTAAAAGATTTATGATGAAATCTACATTCCATAGCCTTTTCCTCTCTCCTCAGTCACATAGCTGCTATATGTATCTGACTCCTGAAGTAAATTTAAATTAGTATGAAATTTCTTATTTTGCAGATTTACAGTGGATTCTCTTCATCAGGTTGTTAGATAGCATGTCACACTGCATTTTCCTCAAGGTGGTCAACATGATGAATATTTGTGGTGAATAAAAATTGAGGCGCCTGGGTGGCTCAGTTGGTTAATTGTCCGACTTCGGCTCAGGTCATGATCTCACAGCTGGTGGGTTTGAACCCCGCATTGGGCTCTGTGCTGACAGCTCAGAGCCTGGAGCCTGCTTCAGATTCTGTGTCTCCCTCTCTCTCTGCTCCTCCCCCCCCCATGCTCTTTTTCTCTCTCTCTCTCAAAAATAAGTAAATATTTAAAAAAAATGGCCACAGTCTTTTTTTTTTTTTTTAAGCTTTATTTTGAGAGAGACTGTGAGTGGGGGAAGAGCAGAGAGAGGGAGAGAGAGAGAATCCCAAGCAGGCTCCATGCTGTCAGTGCACAGCTTGGCTGGGGGGCTCCATCCCAAGACCGTGAGATGATTACCTGAGTCAAAATCAAAGATTTGGATACTTAACCGACTGAGCCACCCAGGCGTCCCAGGCCACAGATTCTTTGTAGCCCTTCTGATCAGCTTGACTCTGTGCTGCCATTGTGACTTGCTTTCATCAATAGAATTGCAGCAGAGTGACATTGTGTAACTTATGAGCTTCAGCCTCTGGAGGCCTTGCAGCTTCTTTTGTGCTTTCTAAACATGGTCACTTTGTGAACAAGCTTGAACCAGCCTACTTGAGGATGAGATGCTAGGTAGAGAGAGTGACCACTGGAAAAAGGCCCAGATTTCCCAGCTGTTACAATCATCTCAGCTGAAGCTGCAGATGTAGAGTGAATTCTGCAAGCGCAGGTTCGTATGGAGCAGAAAAAACACTGAGCTGAGCCTAGATGACACTGCCAAACTAAGGAATGGGAGCAAATAAATGATTGTGTAAGTCACTGAATTTTGGGTTGTCACTTAGTTTGTTACCCAGCAATAGATATGGATACAAACCTAATAATGCCCTCAATCTAGTTAATAAAAAAGCACTTCCAATGAACAAATGTTCATTGTACCTGGAAGTGACTTAACCCATGCCTAATGGGAGAGTGAATGGGTAGATGGGTCTATTAGGCATTGTTTTCCTTTGTTAAACAGTCTCATCCAAGTTCCCATGCTGAAAATGTTCACATTTCTCATAATTAGCTTTATATAATAGCTTTATTTGTCCAGTGAAAAAGAGATTTTTCTTCAGCTAGTGTTCCACTAAAAGACATCTTTTACCTGGCATTTTAGAGACAAGTAGTCCCCATTTCTCTAATTGTCCTTCCTGTTAAGTATTTAACCATGGAATTTAAAGTCAAAGACAAGAAAAAAGGTATTTTATGCCAGATGTTAAGTGCTGAGAAAAACAAGAGAATAGAAAGTTTTTAGTTGGGCAACCAGGATCCCAATATAGTGAAAGTAAGATGTAAAAACAGGAAATAGGATGAGTGCTATACAAGTAGAAAAGGCAAGTCCATTTAAACAAGTTCAGGACCAAATCAATTTGGTTTTTGAAGCTGATTTGTGAATAGAGAACACCAGTTCTTCTAATTCTATGTTCCTAGTAGAGTCAGAAGTAAAAATCAGTTTCTTTTCTGTGATAGTTTAGTGGTATAATTCTTTGAATGTTTGCATTCCAGATTTCCTGTGTATTTAATGTACTATTTTCTTAATCAGAACTGTAGGTCAGGATCTCCATTCATGCTGTGATCTGTCCGTGGTACTTGGCAAAGCTCACTAGCAATGTGAAAAGATTCCCAGCCAGCCATGAAAGCACAGTTGATTTAAAGCTATCCGAGATGGTAAGAGAGCATGGAGCATGGAAATCACACTGGGACACTTGAGGTTGTTCAGCATTGCTGAAGTAAGACAGCAAGAGTATAGCATCTCTCTCTCTCTCTGTCTGTCTGTCTCTCTCACTCTCTCTCTCTCTCACTCACTCACTCACTACCCTAGCCCTGAGAAATAGTTTTTCCTCACAGAACTGTGTATAGCTGGATTCAAAGGATGTTCAAAAGAATTACGTGGCAGTTACAGAGTTTCCACGGAAATTGTTATTACCTTTGGAGGTCTTCAAAGTGGGTTACCTTTCTTTTCTGAGATAACATGTTTCCCACCTGAGGTTGAAAATTCTCTCCTTTAGACTTGTGATGGGTTCCCATGTAAAGAGGCAGTATTGTGTAGTGGTTAGAAACCTGGGTGCTATCAGATGGGACTGCTCTGTTTCCTGATTATGGTGGTTGTTACACAAACCTATATGTATATTGAAATCCATACAACTACAATAAACGGGAAAATAAGTTTTACTGTAAAATTAAACACACCCACAGGGGTGCTGGACATAGACTGCTTGGATTTGTTTGAATCACAGCTCCATCATTCATTAGTTGTGTGACCCTGAGAAGTTACTTATGCCTTAGTTTCCTCATCTGTAAATGTGGGTAAGAATAGTACCTCCTACATGGGGTTGTTGGAAGGATTCAACAAACGTATCTAAAGCACTTAAAACAGTGCCTGACTTATTATTTTTTATTTTTTTTGTCTTAGTATGAGCAGGGGAGGGCGGGGGGGGAGAGAGAGAGAGAGAGAGAGAGAGAGAGAGAGAGAGAGAATATCAATCTTAGGCAGGCTCCACACTTAGCATGGAACCTGATACGGGGCTCAAACCCATGGCCCTGGGATCATGACCTGAGCTGAAATCAAGAGTCACACACTCAATTGACTGAGCCACTCAGGTGCTCTAGTGCCTGCCTTATTGTATGCGCTATGTAAGGGAGAGCTACTATTATTATTATAATGTAAAGGAATAAAAAGATAATATGGGCTCTCATATGACCACTATGAATAGTTTGAAATACAACTGCTATGAGGTGGTGCCCTTATGCAGTAAAAGGAGGAAACCCTAGAAGAATGCAAATGCTATTAAGCAAATTGAAGTCTTCTCTGTTGTTATATTCCAGGGGAGGCAAAAACCAACCAAACAAGAAAATCCCCTCATTCTCCTAATTCATTCAGTTATGCCTGCTATTTTCCAGGGACTTACTGAAAAATTAGAAGGGATCTTGGCAATCTTTCACTTCCCAAATCACCTGATGATATATTCTCTAGCATATGTGGTTCTTTTATTTCTGTGGCCCATTTTTGGCAGATTTACCAAAGCTACTGGCTAGAGGTACTGATAATGTTTGCAATTAAGCACCATAGCTGTTGCATCTACCAATGAGAATATTAAGACCAAAGAAATTCTTCCTCCAGGTTGATTACCTAGAAGATAAATTCTGAGAATTATTTGGGAGGGAAATGGAAGCTTATGAAAAACAGGAACCTGGGGATCTAAGACATGGGTATTTTAAGGATGCTTTAGATAGACTTAGGAATATTCAGATCATGAAAGTCTTACACTAAATGAAAGAATAACAATCCTCTTTGACATGAAGGAAAAAATGAGGCATCATTCCCATATGATGTTAAAATATTAATTTTGAGCTGCCCCCTCCCACTACAGGATATGAATGGGGCAGATGACACGACACAGACATTAAGAGCAGGCGGAGGTGCTATCTATTCGATTCACATGAGTGTGAGGTCTTGTTTTTAATGTTTAAGCATTACTCTTTGACAGTTGAGAAAACAATCCCCCTGGGAGGAGGAAAGCAGCCAAGAGAAAATGGAACAGTCTGAGAAAGAATGGAAATGATCCTATTGCTCCACCAGACAGAGCCAAGTGGGAGGGAAGCCAGGATAAATGATCAGAGGCTGTCTACGAAACAGCTCGCCTCAGCTTGAGTGCTGGGTGCCTACTCAGTGAAGCAATCACAGCTCTGCCACGGCTGGCACAGCTGGAGTTCCAAGTTAGTCATCTGCAGGAAACTGGCCTTGATCTCCATTTTGTAAGAAGTGTCTGTATGCTCAAGAAACACAAGTGTACATGATTGCATCTGTGCTCCACTTCTCCTTGGTTGTCATGGGAAGTGAGTGTTGCAAGTAACATAAACAAATTTAGACTCTGGGGAACTACACAGTAAAGTTCTAATTGCCATTTATGGTGATTAAAAATATGAAATGTGTTAAACTGTGTTTCAGTAACTTTGAAGAAAATGCTGTTTCAAGGAGGGGAAAAGGAGAGATAAGGTATAACTTAAAAAAAAAACTTTGAGTTTAATGTTACAAAGAAGTCAAAAACTTTTTTTTTTTAATGTTTATTATTTTTGAGAGAGAGAGCATGAGCAGGGGAGGGGCAGAGAGAGAGGGAGACACAGAATGTGAAGCAGGCTCCAGGCTCTGAATGTCAGCACAGAGCCCCATGCGGGGCTTGAACCCACGAACTGTGGGATCATGACCTGAGCTGAAGTCGGGCTCTCAACTGAACCACCCAGGTGCCCCAGAAGTCAAAAACTTTTTGATGGCACATCTTTTACTTCTTTTAGGTGTCATGAATTCAAAAGAGGTGACATGTTAAACACCACAAAGCTGCAGAGCTTGTAAATGATCTAGCATGAACTTGCTCAATTCTTTTCTAGCCACTCAAAACAATCACTGTTCTGTGGAAAAGTGAGCAGGCTGTCCTGACATTTTGCCATTAATTCTCCTCTTTACTTATTCCTGCATGTTGCCATAGTGTAAATGATTAATGATTCAATCGAAGTCTCCATACTCAGATTACTGGATTAACAAGTATCAGTAAACTGACTAAAGCTCAGAAAGCAACAGTGACAGAACTTTAAGTAAAATCTACTGCGGAGCAGTTGAATATACCAGCAATGATCCTGGGCTGCATTAGGTGGCGGAATATGGAGTGAATTAATACAGATCCTAGCAGAAGTCCTCAACTGTCTAGGCATGTGGCATCCTGTTTGTGGTATTGGAACCACTCTTTCCTGGCTTTCCTGCCTGTTTTTGCTGAGAATTATGAAGGGACTGAGAAAAATCCAATGTTTTCCTCTCGTACTATGGGTGAGAAAATGAAGACCTGAAGAGGTTAACTAATATAACCAGGGAAACTAAACTTGCTTAGTTAATTTTGCTGTTTGAAACTTCTAGCAAGGTACACTGAACATCTGCTTCAGTCAAGCTTTATGCAGCAAAAGCATAGAATTTTAGAGGTAAAGGAGATCTGAGAGTATAAATTATGAACATTTAAAAACTGAATCTCTGTTAATCAAGAGGCCAAAAACCTAGAGAAAACAAGGAGGAATGTTTTGCTTTCTAAAATACATATTCAGAAGTTATCAGAGTAAAGACAGCATAAGTTCCTAGGTTCTCTATTTCTACACAAATGCCAAATTTTTAGCTTGTAAAATTAATGATATTTCATTTCTCCAAAATAAAAATGAGAAATTGATTTTCTCCACTGGGAAGCTACTGCCCTCTAGAGGGTGGGCTTGGAAGCGTGAGGGGTACTTTCGTTTGTCTCTATGACTAACGGGTCAGGGGGAGAGGTTACTGGCATTTATTTATCTGGGGATGAGGGATGCTGGCATTCTGAAATGCAGTCTTACACACTAAAGAACTCTGTTCCCCAAGATGCCAATAGTAGTTACTTTGAAACGTGATGAAAGTGAGATCTATGGTTTTTACAAGTTGAATGTTAAAATGCTAACCATTTATTGTAAGCGGTTTTAGTGAGATGGGGGTTAGGGGATGCTTGTTGACAGAGAACATGGGTATGTCTACTAATTTTATGCTAAACCTTAGCCTACAGGAAGTTCATGGATCAGACTGCATTTCAGGTCAGCCTTTCCCATTAGCATTTCTCTTAACATTGGGATCTGGTACTTGCCAATTGTTCACTGTACACGGCTATAGCGCTACTTATCGAACTAGGAATAATAAAAGGTAGATTTCTGACTGATGTAATGTTATACAATGTATATAGGCAGATGTTGATAAAATGGTTAAAAGTGCTCTGATAATCGCAGAACAGACTTTGCCAGAAGGATGTAACCTGAATCTTAAAAGTAAGATTCTCAGGTAGGATTATGTAAAGGTGAATGTTTGTTTCTCCAGTGTTTATTCTCCCTTAATAATCCAAAATAGTCTCCATCTCCTCCTACATCTCCCAGCTTTCATGTGGGTAGGTAATGACCATATAACTTGATCAATAGACAGTATGAAATGTGTGCAACTTTTAACCTTTCCCCTTTCCTCGAAATAGGGAAATTGTGCTCTTCACTCACTTTCCCTCTTTCCACTTGCTGGGAAGGGAGGACAACCTGAGCAACCATCTTAGACCTAGGAATGAAGCCATGGAGCCTTCCACCAGCTGCATACCTGGATGACTATGTGGAGCAGAGGCACCCATTCATTCCTGTCTTATTTGAGCCCATTTATTTTGGAGAAATCCTCTTTTTGCCATTTTTTCATATGCCAACTGCTTTGTTGCTCTCTCAACTAGACTCCAAGTAAGAAATGACATCTGGTCTTCTTTTTTTTTTTAAGTTTATTTTTTTAGTAATCTCCACACCCATGTGGGGTGCGAACTTACGACCCTGAGATCAAGAGTTGCATGCTCCTCTGACTGAGTCAGCCAGGCGCCCCGACATCTGGTCTTAATAAATAGTGAGAGAAACTTGAATGTAGCTGAACTCCTTTTGAGGTATATTTGGATGACAAATACATACATATACACACCCTACAAAAAAAACAACTTGTATTTACAAACTCAATACAGTACAAACAGGCACAGTCCTTGGTGGCTTAAAGGGAGCAAAGAAAGCTTTATTATAGTTATGTTTAATACAATTTAACATATGTAGTTATGTCCAGTATAGTTAATATTTTCAGTGTGAACAGGGTCAACTTCATATTTCTATCTGTTTTTCTTCTTCTGCAGATTGTACACAAGGGAAGGAGGCTTCTTGGTTTTATAGGCCACACTTCTCTTGATGCGCTCGCCTTTGATGTTAACGATATATGGCAAGAGAGGGGGCCGGACCGTCAGAACTGTTCCTTGAGGTGTATAGCTTCGGAGACGCAGTCTGTCCTTAAACTGAGGTGTTACTGCAACCCAACCTATGCAGGCATGTGATAGAACACAAAATGGTGTTAGCAACCATCTTATTAAAAATGTCAACCCCAAGCTCAAAATGGAGCACCAAAGGAGGCTACTGGTCTCTTTCACTTTATTTTTTAAGAAAGCATACAATGCATTTATGGGGCGCCTGGGTGGCGCAGTCGGTTAAGCGTCCGACTTCAGCCAGGTCACGATCTCACCGTCTGTGAGTTCGAGCCCCGCGTTGGGCTCTGGGCTGATGGTTCAGAGCCTGGAGCCTGTTTCTGATTCTGTGTCTCCCTCTCTCTCTGCCCCTCCCCCGTTCATGCTCTGTCTCTCTCTGTCCCAAAAATAAATAAACGTTGAAAAAAAAAAATTAAAAAAAAAAAAAAAAGAAAGCATACAATGCATTTATGAAAAGGTACAAATTTATTTTCAGAGTAGGCTGCATTTAATGAATAAATTAGTATATTTCTTTTCTTCTTTTTTTTTAATGTTTAAGAGAGAGACACAGCGTGAGTGGAGGAGGGGCAGAGAGAAAGAGAGACACAGAATCCGAAGCAGGCTCCAGGCTCTGAGCTGTCAGTAGAGAGCCCGATGCGGGGCCTGAACCCAGGAGCCGTGAGATCATGACCTGAGTCGAAGATCATGACCTGAGTCGAAGTCGGATGTATAACTGACGGAGCCACTGGTGCCTCTAAATTAGTTTATTTCTTAAAATCCTCAGTTTATGTCAGATAAATGCACATTTCTATAAAAATACCAGTAAGGCCACTTAATTCACCTTTTAAGTGTATTTATTTATTTTGAGACAGAGAGCATGAGCAAGGCAGAGAGAGAGAGAGAGGGAGAGAGACAATCCCCAGCAGGCTCTGTGCTATCAGTGCAGAGTTCCATGTGGGGATGGATCTTACAAACTGTGAGATCACGACCTGAGCCGGGATCAAGAGTTGGGTGCTTAACTGACTGAGCCACCAAGGTGCCCATATTCACCTTTTAAAAAGTGCTTGGTGTACAATTACCTGCAGAAGAAAACTTGATGTCAGCCACTGCTTCAGATTCCCCAAGTCCTTCGTTTAATGTAATGTCTTCACCAACAAGAGGAGGAAATCCTGCCATTCTTTCTTCTCCACCCATTGGAACCTGCCATTGAAATAAAATGATTGTTTGGAAGTTCAAATTAAACTGCCCATAACTCTAATATTAAGTAAAGCACCGATACACTAGTTATGTGGAGGGATCAATAATAATCTCAGCTATTGAAAACCCCAAATCACTTCTAGTTCAAATGAAAAGCATGGGAACCCTGTGACAAGTTAAAGCCTACAGATCCCAGGACGTAAGAGCTGCATGTGAGTATGTGTCCAGTGGTAACCTCCTAATAGCAGAATCTTATTTTACTAGTTTACACTGTTTTTATAGCCCTCCGTAAAGCTTCACAGAGTAACACTGGGCAATTAAAGTAACATCCTTCAAAATACCTTAGGTCTCATAGGCCTGGCTGGCCTCAAAGATTAATCCCTGCCTCATTACAAGTGAAGGGTACATGTGCAATGGGTAAGGTTTAGCTTCTGTTTATAGATGTGTCCATGAATGGGAAGTAACTGGATAATAACTTATTTATTAATAAATCTTTCTCTGTTTAACACCAGGGACACAAAGATAGATGTTACAATATCGTCCCTGTGCCCAAAGAGATCAGAAGGTGGAAATAACATGTAAACAAATTACAAGGTAAGAAATGTCATGGGAAGCATCTATCAAGTACTACAGTTGAGGAGGAAGAAGTAATGAATGTTTTAGTCAAGGAAAACCTTGACGAAGCAGCAATATCTGAGGAGTATCTTGAGATAAAGTTGAAGTTACTCAGTGGAAAAGTATTCCGGGTTAGCATCATGTACACAAACAAGACAAAGGATGATGAATTCAGGGAATTGTAGTTGAATGTCTAGGGTATGTTAAGTCTGTGTATATGTGTGTGTCAGTGATGAAGCTGTTGGTTTAGACTTCTCAGTAATGTGAACTACCAAGGAATTATAAGTAGGAAAAAGAACAGAGATAAGAATAAAAAAGAATACTGTGATCTGCTTTGTATTTTGGAAAGATCTCTGTAGTGCAGGGTTTGTTAACCTTGGCACTACTGACATTTTGGGCTGAATAATGCTTTGATGGGGGCTAGAGGGGAAGGCTGTGAGGCTGCAGAATTGTAGAATTGTAAATGTCCCCTGGGGGCAAAAGTCAATCCTGCATGAGAAGCCACTGCTTTAGTGGCGGTAGAGGTATATTTGGGGTGGGGGTGGGAGGAGGGCAATAAAAGCTGGAAGCTAAGAAAATACTTCAGGATCTCAAAAACAGCCTAATGAAAGATTACAGCTTGAACTGGGAGGCTGTATTCAGTGATAATGAGAAGGGAGGGCTGACTTGGATTTGGGAGGTAAGTAAGAAAACCAGGAGGCAAGAATGAGTCTCAGAGCACCCCCCAGAACGTTTCCCTTACTGGGAGAGAAGACAGGGATAGTTGCTTTGGAAAGCATCAGTGATGTCCACTCTGAAAACTATACAGATGCACAGGGGCAGAGAACGACAATTCATTTTCAGGAGAGCCATGTTATACAAACTACGAAGTTTCCTTCCCTGGAAATCTCAAGCTGTATTTGAACTCATGTATTATTGTTTTACCTAAAAAGGAAGCAAATTTAACCGGAGAACTAAAGTCTTTTAAATGCAGAAACACCAACAGATCTATATTGCTGATTGCCTTTATATATTCACCCATCCTACAGGTCTCTGGAATATTAACTTTAGGGCAGTTATGTCAATGGAGTTTTTTGGTTTTTTAAAAATTTTTTAATGTTTATTTATTTAAAAAAAAAATTTTTTTTTAACGTTTATTTATTTTTGAGACAGAAACAGAGCATGAACGGGGGAGGGTCAGAGAGAGGGGAACACAGAATCTGAAACAGGCTCCAGGCTCTGAAATGTCAGCACAGAGCCCGACGCGGGGCTCGAACTCATGGACCGCGAGATCATGACCTGAGCCGAAGTCGGCCACTTAACCGACTGAGCCACCCAGGCGCCCCTGTTTATTTATTTTTGAGAGAGAGAAAGAGAGTGTGAGCAGGGGAGGGGCAGAGAGAGAGGGAGACACAATCCAAAGTAGGCTCCAGGTTCTGAGCTGTCAGGACGGAGCCTGACACAGGGCTCAAACTCACCACCCCTGAGATCATGACCTGAGCCTAAGTCAGACGCTTAACTGACACCACCCAGGTGCCCCTGTCAATGGAGTTTTAATTTCAGTCTGGCTTTCTTAGGAAATACAGATAGAAAGAAACATTTACTTCTCAAGTCAGGTTTATTTTTATCCTCTGTGGAAAGCAGTGTATATTGTGGGTTCTGGCTTACATTTAGTTGCATAAGCACTAATCAATACTAAACCACCTTTGCTGGATGCACCTGGTATTTGTGTAGATGTGTTTCATCATCATCACAAACACTCACGTAGCAGTTACAACAGTGCCCTGGAACTTAGTTCTCGCCACAACCTTGTGATGTAGGTACAACACAGTGTTACAGAGCTTTGTCAAGTGGTGGAACAGAGCGAGCATTTAAACCCAGTCTGGCTCCAATAATCTAAATATTATACATTATACATTATACATTACCAATGTCTGTGTCAGGTCTTATTATTAAAGAGCTGAAGGGGCGCCTGGGTGGCGCAGTCGGTTAAGCGTCCGACTTCATCCAAGTCACGATCTCGAGGTCCGTGAGTTCGAGCCCCGCGTCGGGCTCTGGGCTGATGGCTCAGAGCCTGGAGCCTGTTTCCGATTCTGTGTCTCCCTCTCTCTCTGCCCCTCGCCCGTTCATGCTCTGTCTCTCTCTGTCCCAAAAATAAATAAACGTTGAAAAAAAAAAAAAAGAGCTAAAAACAGTTCCCACTCAGTACTTGGTGAACTTTGTAAGAACAATTTCAATGATACAGGAAGGGACAAATGTGGACTGCAGAGGATGGACATGAGGAGCAGGAGCAAGCTTGACAGTAAAAAGAAGGAATAAATAAGCAGGACACTGAGGGATACTGAATTTCTTGTTTTTGTTTTTGTAATTCTTTTTAATGTTTATTTTTGAGAGAGCGTGTGTGTGCAGTGCATGAGTAGGGGAGGGGAAGAGAGAGGGAGACGTAGGATCCGAAGTAGGCTCTGTGCTGACAGCAGAGAGCCTGATGTGTGGCTTGAACTCATAAACTGTGAGATCATGACCTGAGCTGAAGTCAGACGCGTAACTGACTGAGCCAGCCAGGCACCCCAAGTTTTGTTTTCTTTCTTTTTTTCTTTCTTTCTTTTTTTTTTTTTTTTTAAAGATGAGAGAAACTGGATGCGCCTGGGTGGCTCAGCTGGTTGAGTGTCCGACTCTTGATTTTGGC